ATAATCAAGATTAGAGAGAGATTACTTCTCACCATCCATGCCCTTCTTTAGAAAAATAGGAAAAATTAAAGAGTATTGATTTTTGAATAGGACATATTGTATTTAAATTCATTGTTTAGAACTCTTTTTTCCCCTTGATTCTTTTGCTTAATTCATGCTTGTCACTTTCTTTGAGAATTAACTCAAATCCAATGCCTTACAAACGTTCTTCTATGACTCCTTCTACTCTGTTCTAGACACCCTTCGGTGTGGATATGAAGTTTTGGTTCTATTGTTTAGCCCTTGCACAGGGTCAGGTTTACAGGATATTAGAGCCAAAAAGGCCTCCACAACCATCCAGCTCAATGCCTTCATTTCCCACTAAAAAGAATGAAGCCCAGACCCAGTCACACAGCTGGTCAGTCTTTGAGCCAGAATTATGACCCAGGGCAGTTTTCATTACTTTCTGTTTTGTACTTGCTTGATTGTTTCATGTGTATGTTTGGTTTCCCAAGCTAGATGATTTGTTGTCAGGAACAAAGCTCTTTTTTCTTTATTCAAAGATTCTTTTGCACTTCTGTGTTCAGAGTAGGCTCACTGGAATGCCTGAGAACTAGCCTTTTGGAAGCAAATGCCAGTGGTATTCGACTATGCTTTGGTCTAATGCTATTTTAAAGTGTCTTTACTTTTTATTTTAATATCTAAATCATGTTAAATATTCATCTATTAGTACAACCGATTGGCATTATATATAATTCAGGTTTTGTATTCTCGTAGTTGTCCTGACATAGAGACAGAACTAAATACCTCTGTATTAATTCGCAATTAGATAAAATTGCTTTTTCTGATTAATTGGAGTACTGTGACAAGGTAAGGAGAAGCAAGGTATGTATCTCAATATCTGATAGGCTCTTCTAAGTTTTCTCTAAATTATTTAGTACAGTAGAGCTTACTTAGAACAGAGACCTCTAACCTGGCCATATACGATAATGACATAAAATAATGTACACACATGAGAAAGTCATAGAATAGTAAAGTGGTCACAGAGTTTAGTTTATAGAAGTGGAGAATTGGCAATGGTCAATTTAAATTTTATACATGGATTGTTTTTTGAGTTTTGCATTGGGCTGGGTGCTAGGGATCATAGCAAAAGCCTGACACCAACTTTTGAGCCAAGATATTTAGTTTTCAAAGGAGGCAAAGTTGTATAGACTAATGATTGTGTTTTAATAGTAATTATATGTCATTTATTGTTCCTTGAACATAAGAAAGAGAATGATAGTTTTCTTTTTTAATTTGAGAAGGACTTTGGGATCATCTAATTCTAGAATTTCACATATGAAAAAAACATATGATAAGCTATTCTTTAAAAATATCTAGAGCAGGAAGAACTTTATTTTCCTCTTAGTAGTATATCAGTACTAAATCTGTGTGTATATGGACCACATGGCAATTTCATTTATTCAATGGATTGTTGAGAGGTTCTGTGTTTAGTACTTGAATATTGGACATGATTCAAATGTGAGTCAAGTGTGTCTAGAGGCTTTATTCATATCTATTTTCTTTTAGTCAGCAATGCTTCATAATGCCCTGGTTTCATGAATTAATTTTAATGGAATTAAACTTGAACAGCTCAAAATTATATAATTAATTTCATTCAGCTTCTATTAAAGTTACTAATTGAATCAAGCCTACTAGCATGACACCTGGCGGCAGCCAACTACATAACAGTAACAACAAGTAATGGACTCTGCTGATGAGAGAGCTCATGTGTACGAGTGAGTTTGTTTAAAAATCTTTTCTATTGAGACTCTCAGAAAGGCCTTGAATTGACTGTAGAAGTGGAAATATTTTTGGAGTTTAAAAAAACAAAAATTTTAATTGAAACTAACACATCTCATGAAGATAATTTTCTCTATGATAATACTAAGTAAATGTTACATAAATCTAGACCATATTGGTTTAGCATGCTTCCAATTTATATTTTACTGCTCTCTGAATATGATTTTGCTTTCTAAAAATACTCAGCATTGAAGGCCCTATATTTTTTGGAGCTCTTAGCCTCTGGACTTAGTCCTAAGTGGGTGTCCATCTATTTTCATGTGTTGAAATGTGTTTCATGGCAGAATTTTCCAATTGTGAAATCTCCATGGTACATGAGAAACTTTTGCTTGTGCAGACACATTTTCCTTTCACAGGAAATGTTAATACAGTTGACTAAAAACTTCTGTTTGACTCTCCTTTCCTTACTTCCATGGCTTGATATTATCTAGCTTTTCTTCCTTCTTTGATTCTTTCTAAATGTACAGACCCCATTTGATACACTTCTTTTAATATACTCACTCTTTTGGTGAGACTAGTCATTTGGATGGCTTCAGCAATCAAGTTTAGGAAGGTGATTGTTTCTAGCTCTAATCTTATTTGTGACTGCAAATTCAAATATCCAACACTAAACTCATTCACTAGACTGTCAACTCCATGAAGGCCTGGGCTGCGTCTCATAATTTGTTGTATGCCTTCTGCCTAGCATAATGCCTAAACATATACTATGTATAAATATATATATATATATGTGTGTGTGTGTGTGGGTGTGTGTGTGTGTGGGTGTGTGTGTGTGTGCATGTATGTGTGTGTCTGTATGTGTATGTGTGTGTGTGTATATATATTGATTAATAAATTATTTGACTAATAATTTATTTTCCTGGTCTCCAGGTTTTCTCAGTCAAGTCTGGACTAAGAGAACTCAGTCATCTCCAGTCCCTTCTTTTCAATTATATATGCAAACCTCTAGTTATTTTCTCACATCAACCCCATTTTCTACCTTGTTATCCAGTTGATTAAACTCCCATCAACTTCTACCTCTACCATGCCAAGTCTCCCTTTGGTTTTTCTTACTCTCTTCTCCCTGTTAGATACATCCATACTCCAGTGATTCTCAAGGATACAAGTGAAGTAGAATCACCTAAGTGCCCCTCCCCTAAATTGAAATAGAATCTTTGGTGATGAGGCCAAGAAATATGTTTTTTTAAAAAGCCCCCCCCCCCCGCCAGGTGAATTAAAATGTAGTCAGAATTGAGAACCACTGATGTGCACAAATTTATTAATCTTCCTAATGCATGGCCCTGATTAGGCAATTCATTAAAGCTTCAGTGGTGACTTTCACTTATTTATCTTGCTTTTTAAATTAGGTCCAGATTTCTTACCTTGGCATAAAAATATCCATTCTTTGTCTCTATTCAAACCTTTACTGTCTTATCTCCTAATGTTCCTCTTAAAGTACTCTCAGTCCAGATTTAGACCATTATTGCCCAGTGTCTGCTTTTGGAGTTCGACCATGCTATTCTTCCACCTGGAATGAACTTTCTCTCACATCTACTTTTAGAATTCCCACTGATCTTTAAAGACCATCCAACATACACCCCCCCCCCTTTTTTTTAAATAAGGCCTTTCTTGAGCTCTGAATTCTAATGAATTTTTTTCTTCCTTTGAACGTTTTTGTGCTCAGACCTCTTATAATATGCATTTTACTGTGTAGTTTTCTTTTTGTGAGAGTTTTGTTGTCAACGAGATGTTACTTTCCCTTACTTATTGGCTTTCCTTTTGAGAACTTATAAACCCACATATAAGTCCCTAATTCTAAACACTCTTCCTCTCTAGAATGTATAACACAATTCTTGACTCTTTCCTAAGTATTTATGGAGAGAACTCTGTATCTCTTCACTTCTCATTTAACTGCAGTCTGACTTTTATATATACCACTCATTAGAGTGTCTTCTTATTAGTGTTTTCCCTACTGCCCCCACACTCTACGTGTATGGACTCACTCACTTTTATTTTTGATACGACATTTCCACATTTCTGTGTCTGGCAGATCGCTTGCCGTGTTCCTGTAATGTGTTTACAGTACTCTCAAAAGATTACTTTTACTGTGAATATCTCCATTTCTTCTATGCTAGGCATATAGTAGGTGCTCAATAAATATCTGTTATTGAGTCAATATGTATGCAACAGTCAACAGAGATACTGTTGCCATTTTCTTATGGCAGACTTAGAAGCATTTAGAAGAAAAATCTATAAAGTGAAAAAAGAAAGATATGTCACATTTAATGATAATAAATGTATGTTTTCTTATTCAGAAAAATGTGATAAAGAAAATACTGAGAGAGATATAACTCAAGTCACCAATAGTTGCTTTACACATGGAGAGATGCAAGACCAGTCCATTTGGGGAAATTGTTCAGATGATGAACTCATCAGAAGTAAGTATTTTTCGAGAAAATTGGAATGACTTAAAGATATGACTGTGATAATATGCTCTGAGTTAATTTCTCTGGAAATCTAGAAATCAGAGTTTTCAGAGTTTTTCTGAAAGTGTTTTTTGGGTATTTTAAAATGTAAAGCTAGAACTAGGATGTAAATAATACTTTGTTTTCATTCTTTCTTTAGAAAGGAAGAATTGACCTGTACATTTTGGACTCAGTTCTCATAGAGATTTAGACAAAACCTAATTCCTTCTTGAGCAGTGACTAAGTGGAAGTCAGACAATTCTCAGCATAGTGGACTGTGAAACTGAAAAGATAAAGACAAAGCTAAAAGACATTAAGTAGTACTTTGATAATGCCATTGTGGCCCCTGTTCTTTTAGCCAAACTTTGCTTTTTACTATTACATTTTTATCACTACTTAGTTTCTTTTTATTTTTTTCTCTGTGTTCTTGCTCAACAGAATACATATAAAGGCTTTGGTATGTTTTCATTTCACTCTGAGAATGTCTGGGAATACCAATATCTTTTGGCTGCTATTCAGATGACTGTCAGTTTCTCCTCTGGAGCTTAGGTCTGGTCACTAAGTTTCCCTAAGTGGGCGTGAGATAAATTTACCATATAATGAATTATTCTCTGTAGTAAATGTGTAAGTATAAAGATCACTGCTATGCTACACCTGGAAGAGCATAGGAGTAAATCTTTTGGAATTCTCACTTATGATAACCAAGTTACCATGTCTTATTCTTATTTCCAGTGTGGTCAGAGGAAAAGGATTCCTTTCTGGAAACAAAGGTTTTTTTGTTTTGTTTTGTTTTGTTTTGATTTAATTTAATTCGGTTCAGACAACTTCATAATATAGACTTTTTTTGTGTGTTACATATTACACTTACTTTGGATTTTTGAATATTTCCTTTACTTCTAGAATGCCCAGTATCTATCCCTAACTGAAAACCAACCTGAATAAAGCAGAATAAAGGAGAAAAATCAACTTAGTAGAAAACATACAATAAGAATAAAAACACCATTGAAGGAAATTTCAAGATTTCAAACAAGAGCTCTAAAAGAGAGTTGGTCTTGATTTAATTTTAGAATCATTTTGGTTTTTAACACTTTGTCTTGGAGAATGGAATGAAATTGGAGAAAATGAGACTCAAATTAGTGGGGAACAAAATTTATATAGCTTTTTCCAAAGAATCAAGCAATACATTATTTCAAGTATACATTTATCCCCCAAACATGTATTGGTTTTCTTCTACCCAAATGTTAACTCTGCTGTTGTGAAAAATGATTTTGTGAGATACTGGCATATTTTACCTGTGATTTCCTAACAACTGGAGAGTTAGAGCTAGAAGAGTTCGTAGAGATGATTTTACCTCCACCTTTTAGGAGCACAACTGTTTTCTCATTTTTTTTTTATAGTCAGAATTTTAAGTGTGTGTGTGTGTGTGTGTGTGTGTGTGTGTGTGTGTGTGTGTGTGTGTGTGTTTCATATAATTGATTTAGTTCCCTACTTTCCCAAGGGAACTAGGAAAAAGTTAATAAGAACTCATGACAAAAACTGAAATGTAAGCACAATTGCATAAGGATATGGAGAGTCATGTTTAATGTGTTAAAAATTTTTGCTCTTTGATCAAGCTCATTTTTATCATAGAATTCATACCATTAAAGGGAATGGATTTTAAATGAAGTACTCTATTGTCTATATGGATTAAGTGGACAGTGATAAAAAATACTGTAAATTACATGAAATCGTTTCTTTATTGAGATAATGATGCAGCTCGTACCATAGGATGCTGGAGTATTTGGGAACTGTCTAGTTTCTTACTAATATGCACTGAAAGAATGCAGAGAGAGATTTATGGCCCCCTCTGAGAGAGGTACTGGGAAAATTGACAGACAAATGGATATACAGAGGATAATGGCCAAAGATAGTAATGCTGCTCCTGCCCGAAACATAAGCTGACAAGAATTTCCAAATATTTCTGGGTTTTAGCATGCATGGAATTCTGATAACAAATTTCAAAAATTATTTTTTTGTTATTTTCCTGGTCACATTTTTCTAGACAAAAGAGATTTTGTTGGGTCTACAAAAAGATTTGATGTCTGGATTGCCAAAATGGAATGTTTTATGTCATCTTTAAACCCAATTCAAGTCTGGATAGCATTTGAAAGTTTAATATTGTGATAGCTTCTGCTATTCCAGGTCCCTAATACAAAACTCTACAAAGCTGCCTGAATTTCTTTCTTTGGCCTTTCCCATAGAATCTTTGACTCTCTTGACATAATTTAATGTTTGTTAGGGAGATGTATTTTCCTCTTGATTCAACATCTAGCACATTTTTGGGGCCTAGTAAATTTTTCGTAACAACAGTAGACCCTGGAAAGAGAGCTCTGGCTCAGAGATGCATGGGGGAGGACGGGGACATTTGTGGTGAGTCAGGACCCAGCTGGCTCTTGTTCCAGGAGTCCTGTGTGGCTCCCTGAGCATTGAGGAAGAGGCAGACAGTTAGCTTTCATGGAATTGCTTTTAGTGTTCCCACTATAGTGTGAGGTTGACGGGATTGAGGAATCGTCAGAAAAATGAGGCTGGCTGGGCTGTGGGAACATTTTCAAATGCACAACCCACTCTTTTTCCAAGCTTCCATGGGACAGCTCAGCTGCATATGCAAGGAGTAAAGGAGAGTGACTCTGTTTAATATGACTTCTTTTTCTCTATCTATTCTTGAGAATGGTTAGTGAGAGCTGACAGCTAACATCTCGTTTTCCTACATAGCTGCTGCCTTCTTTGTTGGACATTTAAGGCATAATTTATAGGGGACTGTTAGCTGTCAGTATGATGAAGCTGTTTTTACTTTTCTGAGAATAACTGAGCTCTGGAAAGTCAAGGGAGTGGCTGCTTTGGAAATTGTATTCTAATTAAAGGGTGTATTCTCAGGCCTCATAAACGAGATCCAAGCTGAGAATAATTTCCAAATTATTCTATGAACTTTAACCCTGACCTCGGTGGACCACCCACTTGTGGCTCATACTTGGTTGGTTATGCACACAGAAGTTCGAACTTTGTTTGCCTATTTTGGTACTTCTAGAAAACATTGCAGGTGGCAGACCTGAGGTACTGCGTTCTTAGGACCTGGATTCCAAATTGCCCTTGAGTTGCTAACTCATAAGACAGAATTCTTTCTGGAAGTTATAAATAAAAGAGAAGAAGTCCATATGGAATCAAACATTTCGAATAAATAGACCACACATAATCCGGTCAGGGAATGCGCATTGTGATTCTCTTTCTTATGAAATGTAAATTAAAAAGATGATTCAAACTACTCATTTGTTTAAAAAAAAAAAAAACTAAATCAAATCAGTAAAGAATTAAAAAGTAAATAGAAGTTTTATGAGAAAATTTTATATTTGGAAAGTTTTTTTCATTTTCTGATTTTTTTTTTCTTTTACAGTTTAAAAGGCTTTCATATTCTGAGAAAATATTTGGGGGTATAATTTAATTTTTGAAGTGGGGGTTAAATTGTCAAGTTCATCTTTTTATGGAAACACCAGTTAAGACTTTGGCTTTTCCTTTCTGATTATCGTAAGTGATACAATATATGATTTGGAGCTATGCTTTTTTTAAATAATCACTATTCCTCTGACTTAGTTAAATGAATGTTGCAATGAAGTGACAACCTCAGTATTCATTTTTCTATTTAATTTATAATAAATGTAAAATGTATAAACTGATGAGGAGCAATAGGCAACATTTCATGTTTTAATTAGACTAGAAAAGAAGCAGAAGTAACATTTGGTCTCAGTCTTCAGGTGAATTTCTAAGGTAGGCATGTGTATATGTGTGTTTGCGTATCTTTCTTTGCTTCTACTCATAGGCATGTATAATATTTTCCTTTAATTTAGGTCAAATTCTACTATTCTAATTATTTTCTATATAGAGAGAGCTTACATTTTCTTTGTTCCTTTTTCTAAAGTGCCTCGGGTCTCTATCTCAGATTTTTCTAGGTCTTTCTGAAAATTTTTATTTCTTAACTTTATCCTTGGATATTGCTTTTACATAAATGTTTCATAATTCTAAATGTCATTACTTAACTCCAGAAATTTTCCTTAGCTTCTCTTCTGAAATAAATTTCCCATTAAATTAAACTATTTTGTTCTGCTAATTCTCTCCTTTGTGATTTTGTAGAATTCCCAAGATCTGAAGCAAAGTTAGAATGCTCTACTTAAATGGTAATCCCCATTCTATTTAACCCATTTATTCATTTTGAAGAGTTTTTAGCTCTCATAATAGTAAGCGCTAAATTGATAGTAGAATGCAAGCCCTCTTTCTCTCATTCACACCTGCCTCCTTTTTATGGAGCTGATGCATTATGCTTTTTCACTCATCTTACTACTTGAAACCTTTCTCTTGGCATCCTCCGATATTTGAAACGCTATTATTTCTTTTCCTAGCCTTTGCCAACTTACAATTGGTCATTCCTTAATAATAACATTTCATCACTGTCGAGAACTCTTCCTCTATGTAAAATACTGAAAGAAAGGCATATACTCAGATGTACAATTTCTATACTTAGGACATTTCTTTTTCTGATGGTAAGGAAAGAGCACTGAAAGGTTTGGATTAATTTTTTTTTTTTTTTTCAGCAGCCCTCATGTTTGAATGCACATTATGTTAAGGGTTATTTGGTTTTCTTTAGAATTCACTTTAAATAAAAGAGGCTATAAATAACACTCTCACCCCCGATAAGTAACACCCAGTAAGCTGGGAGATGTAACTTTTGTGTTACCTTTCTCAGGTAATCTTATTCTTTCTCTAATATTTCATGCTCATTCATTTTGGAAGCCCATCTTGGGAGAAAGGCACGGGACTTTCATCTTGCTAGTGTCTTTAGCCCATTTGTCTCTCAGAAAAAAAAAAGATATATATATTTTTCAATGTACTGACTAAACACTTACGGGGCTGCGGTATAGATTCTTTGATTATTGCTGTTAAAGAGG